CCTACTAGAACAACAAACCTAAAAAAAACACAAGAAACCACATCCTTCTTTAGTCCAATTTACTGCTACAGAAGGTTTAATGTTTATGAGAGAAAATAACATGACAAAGTGACACTATAACAATGATAAAAGTAAAACAGAGGTGGAATTGTAATATATATACCCCCTACAAATAATAAGAAATTTGCAAATGTAGATAACGGTTAATTTACCAAGAAGGAAGATATATGAGATTCCATTTTAAAAGCAGGGGGCCTTCTAGTTGACCAAACTAATAAAAGGTGTTTTGAGTCCAAATGATGATGGCAACACTACAAAACAAATTCTTGAATGTCCTGAAAAATCACGAAATATTAGAGATACTGTTGAAGATATTATTCACCATTTGTAACATGACTAACAATAATATCTTCTGTTTATGCATTAGACTGGTGCATTTAATAAGTATGCTTTAAGTTTTGCAAAACTGTCTGTAACATTTTATCCATGTCATTATATGTCTTTATCCATTCCGATATCTTTTATTCACTATGCAAAAGTTGTTGAACATACCGTATTTCCGATTGGAAGCCCAATAACAATGGTGTTGAGTTGTGAGAAGATAGAGTGCTAGAAAGTGCTAGATAGATGCATGCTAGAAAATGTTCCCAAAGAAGTAAAGATCAGCGTACTCTCCTTGAAATTTCTGCTCCTCTTTCACAGACTCATCCAAAGTCTCAAAAGAAGACATCATTTTCTGTGGCAATGTTAAATTTACTTAGGGAACCATGTTTATACAAACCTGAGAATAAGGATTCATCCAATTATTCAGAATGTGTGCATTATAGATACTGACTGAACCATTTTGAAAAATTAAATAGCAAATGGAGAAATTGGGCATTGTAGATTGTGCTGTAAAATTTTAATTTAATTTCCATAATTGTTTATACAGTTACTGAGAAAATAATGTTCTTCCTGCTGTGTGTGTGCGTGTGCGTGCGCGTGCGCGTGTGCGTGCTCGTGCTCGTGCTCGTGCGCGTGCGCGCGCGCGCGTGCGTGCGTGTGTTTTTTTTTTGTTAATTTTAATAACACATTATTCGTTGATAATAATCATAAACAAGTAAAAATAAAATATATTTTATGCTAATCAGTTTGTCAACCCTAACATTCTATTCTCTTCTCCTAGAACATAAATATTTAATAAAAAAATTTAAAACTAGTTCTCTTTAGATTAGCTATTTAGCCCTTTTTGCTGTAGTGCTAAACTCTAAGCTGTAAATACACTCTCGTGCGAAGCAGTTCTTTGTCCATGTCACTGGATATCATATGAACTCAGACATTACCTACCTACCTACCCTGGGTATCCCTTTTTTAACTCTCTTGCAAAAAGCTTAATGTACAACTCCGCATTTCTCTGACTCCCCCTCAAAGTCCTGTTTCCTCTTGGAAACTTCTCTGGTTCATAATAGATCTTAGATTATCAAACCTTCCTAAAACATCAATCCCCCCTAGTGCATATCTAAAGCTATTCCAGAAGGTACATGCTTGATAATGGCATGTAACACAAAAGTTAGATAATAATTTACAAAATGCTTCTTTAGAGAAACAGGAGCAAGTTTTTATTATTTTTAGTGTCTTGCCTTTATAAGAAGAGAAAGTATTGTAATTGTGCACTGAAAAGAAGGCGATTTTTTAAGAGCAAAAACGGAAATGAATATATGGAAAAGTGTTCTTTCTATATGTAGTAAATTACTTCCGCTAACACGTGTAGTGCGAATCCACCTTTTGCAAGTCCTTTATACTGAAAAATCGATTGATGGCAAAACGTGTGCCAGTGGTCAATGCTGGCATAATCTGTTCAGAAGATTTTTCCTAAAATAGATTCCACGATCTGAATGAATTCGAGGCCCTGTGGGATTGAAATGGATTTTTTGATTTTTCGGGGTACTTTACATGAAGCCTGAACATTTTAAAAATTTTCTTAAAAATTGCTCCAACATTTTAAATAAACTTGACTTTTTCAAGTTATTTGAGGACAAACTGCCGTAGATGTCATTTTTGTTGAAAATCCTGATTGTTTGAAAACTGCAAAAGTTCCAATATTTTTTACTTCTTCCTACAACTACAACTTAAAGATAGAGATTTTTTTCTTCAATAAAATCTGTTGTTCAAAGACAAGTCTTAAATAAGGTTATATACAATTTTTCAAAAATTAAATAATTTTTGCTTAAAGTTAATGCAATTTATTTGCAATATAAAATTTCTCAATAATGGCTCCAATATTTGATTGCATTAAATTTTTTGAAAGATGGTGCAAAAGACAGAGATCTCAGTTTTGTTGAAGGTTCTGTATTTTTGAAAATTGCGAAAGTTAGAATTAATTTGTGATAGCACCACTAGTTTTATTTTGGGCCAAAGAAATGCCCCAGTGTCAAAGTAGCTTACAATTATAGTAATTAATTAGAGAAAAAAAATTACCTCAATTTCTGTAAAGAAACTCCCCACTTAATATCACTCGTGGGCTGCAATAGTGGTGCAACTCAAAACATTTTAATTTTGAGTTAATGCATTCTCCAGAATTGTAGATTGGTCTACCTTCCCTCAGCAGCAGCAGCATATCTTACAGTACAGTAGTCCACAAACAAATGGCAGAAATGTGAATGCAAGAATGATGCATTTCAATACAAGGTGAAACTCATTTTCTCAACACCTGATTTTTTGAGTTAAGCCACTATTGCAGCCCACAAACAATACATAGCAATGTATATCAAGTCTATGCTCAAATTTACAAATGTGTTACAGTCCCCATTAGCAAAAAGACATACTCCATTTAAAGAGAGTGCAGAGACATCTCACAAGTCCCAGAGAATATTGTCAGTTACCATATGGGGAAAAGTGTCATGAAATGTCTCTTGATAGTAGAGCAGAGGTGAAAAAGAAATCTTGTGAAGACAAGACCCTTCATGCTACACTATACTTCAATTAAAACTATTTACAAGAGCTCCAGCTCAAAGAGAGGACATAATTTAAAACGGTGAAAGGAAGTGACAAGAAAGAGCCATCATGAGTAGGATGGTTTTCCTGCAAACAGTTAGCAAGGAGACCTGGGATCTGTTCAAGAATTGTTTTGGCCATTGTGTGTGGAGCCGAAACATTGAAGGAGCTGGTGGCATGACAGTTGTGATGTCACCTTTGGTAATAACTGCGAATTTTGGAAGCTAAATGATTTAGAAAAGTATGAAAACAAGACTTGCTAGATTTTCCAAATAAGCAATTAATATTTTTTTACATTATTGGAAAATAAATATGAAATGTGTAAGCATGGATGAACTTGTGTAAAACCCACAATCATTTCACACATTTGTCTAAAGTTTTTGTGAATACAGTATTTTTAAGCTTGAAAGTTGCTTGATTATTTGCAAAAATGAGAGAATATTATGGAAATAGTCTCGAATACCCTTTGTGAAGTCTTCCCAATCTCTTAATGTTGGATGTTGATATTCAATTCTAATGTTGATTGTCTTCAGTTTTAAATATTTCAAATGGCATGATGGAAATTTGTTATTGTACAAACAACTCTTAAAAGCACTATTGTGATGTAGGATGACTTGTTTACATTGGCATGTTTTACAGTTGTTATAAATTCTTATAAATGGTGTATTGGGTAAATATGATGGGTGTATTCTCAATGTTTGTTTGGTTTACTTAACCCATTAGTGCATGATGTTTCCTGAGCAATTCTTTTTTGAGTTTTCTAAATGGTTTTATATTTTTTTATCATTGAATAAAATATTCTCTGCAACAAAATAATTTTACTGCGGACAATTTGCAAACGAAAGAACAACTCAAAAATCAGAGTATGCGAGGAAGTGTTAACATAATCTATAGCTCTCTGAACATTTTGGAATATAATCTGAGAAACCAGTAACTGATTTAATTGAAACATATTAGAAATGTAATTGTTTTAGTGCACATTTCAGTTACTGATATTAACAATTTTTACAATTTCTTTTTAGAAATAATAAGCTGCAAAATATAGAATGATGTAAAATCTCATCTCTTTTTTCATACAAGTTTCATTTTCAAGCACATGGCCAGTGTTTCTTTTCAGTGGAAAATGGAATAATTCATTGGAATCTAAGGACTTACATTTTGTGTATCATTCTAAAGTTCGATCATGGACTTTGTTTCTGTGATGGAATTGCATGTCATTGATTTTCGAAAGGCGTGCCTATTTCTGTGGCATTTCTCATTTTTATTTCCATTAGACAATTAATTTTGTATGTTTCGCCATTTGAAATACAATATTGCTTATTCTTGATTCCTGACTAGCAGAGTATTATTCACCAAGTTTTATGTCAACTTGCAAGAAAAAATAATTTAATATTAATAATTACATTTTCATCTGTTGACAATAAATTTGTTCTGCACAAAACTTGTTAATTTATGGGAAATGCGTACATTTAGTAGGATTTTAAAAAATTGTTCATCAATGTCCATTTAAAATATCATACCTTTTAATTGTAGTTTTTCATAAAAAAACACTTTCAAATGACAATATCAACCTTCAACTGTTAGTTATATCCAAAATTTATGTACCATCATATTCATCAATTTATTATAACTATCCACAAACTGATCTAATGTGCTGAACAAAATGATTGTAGTAAGCTGTTCTGTACTCTGCTTCAAAGAAAAGAGACTGAAATTTAGAGCTTACAAAGTTAATTGTTTGTTGAAGTATTTATGCTTGGACGTTGTGCAACTTGTAAGAAATTACTTCTCAAAAGAAAAGCAAGGTTGCTAATTAATTTATGATACAAATTCTCAGATCACATGCACTGATGGGTTAAAATGTAGTATTCTGGATCCTGCACTTCCTTCAAGGAAGCATATGAAATGAATTTTACAAATGTAAAATAATTGAGCTCCACCATTGGGAGAAATGTTTAGTAGTCATTGAGAATGTGGTGAAATACTCGTAAATAGCTAAATATTGAAGTCTTTGTTTTACTCTTTAGTACATTGTGGAGCGGCATGGGAAGACACTTTTGCCTCAGTACTTGGGAATGTATCGTCTTACTGTTGATGGAGTGGAACATTACCTTGTCGCTATGAGAAATGTATTCAGCAATCATTTGCAGACACATAGGTAAGCACCTTCTTGAAAAACTTATGATGGATTCATTCTGCTGAAACCAACCAAATTTACATTTAATATGTTTTGTTATAAGTTTAATTTTATTATTAAGTTATCTGGCATTTGTAGATTTAGTTTATTTTGAACCTTGAGCAATAATGAATTTAAAAATTTTATGTTTGAAAATGCATGACTCCCAATAGGTGAACAGAAGGGAATTACTGGGTTAGAATAGGAAAGAATAGGAAAATCTCTGAGTTTGAAGATGCAGTTTTTTGAGAATAGTAAATCTAGAAAAAAAGAATTGTGAGTTATGGAACATTTGACCAATTGTAGGTATAGAGTATAGTAGACTTTATTTTGGGGAACCATTTACAGAATGGCCACTTTCTGGGAAAATGGGGAGAATTCGGGGAATGTAATTGATCAGGAAATGTCAGGGAACAATTGAAGAATTTATTTTATTTTATGCAAGTATGAAACCTATGGGTTAAACCCAATTGCAAGATTATGTTAAATAATCGCGTTGCACAGTGGTGCTGATAAAGACAAAAGCTTTTGCATATTACGAAACACTCGTCTGCAAAAATGTGGATGAACGGATTGAGCATAATAAATTCACTAATTAGGATGTTCATTTTGACCATTTTCTTGTTTAGAGTAAATGAAATTTGTTAAGGAGAAAAGGCAGATCAATGACATTCCTGATTATTTCGATAAACTAACTTAGGAGAGAAAATTTGTTATTTAAATATTCATTTTCACTTCTAGGGATGAAGTTATTTATAGTTTTTCATTCCAGATACAGTGCAAGTTGTTGCCAACAATTTTCAATTGAACACCTCTCGCTTTTAAATCTTGATGGCCAGATTGCACTGACATAATAAAGTTTAAGGTGCACAATTTCAATAAACAGCATCATATCTTTACATCAATCTCAAATTACATTTTAAGAAACTTGAGTCAATAAATTCATTGCCAAAGATTTCCAGCTTCTACCATGTTTCAGTGATCAAAATAAGATCTAGACAATGAATCATGTGTATATTGACAATCTGTTAACACTACTGAGTGTAACAGACTGTGTAAGGGGCTGGTCTGAGTACAGTATGTTACTGGAAGTCGAATTAGCTTTTGTATATGGGTATGTTCCCAACAATTTTGATTTTCCACATGCTGGTTCTTCAGGTTGTTGAATTTGGTCATTTCGAGGGTCTCGCGTGGGCGATAGTTATATTACTGAAGTAACCGTAGATAAATCACTGATTCCTTTTAAATCCTTATTCTGCATTATCACTGCAACATCATCACAATTATCAGAAATGATGTTACGTGGACGTGATAGTTTTCAACAATCTTGTTGATTCTAATGCATTTTTTGTCGATATGTCATTCACATTAACGAAGGGCCTATTGGAAAATTGTTAGATCTTTCTATATCTTTTGATGTCATTGATCTTAACATTTAACTTTAAAAATTACCATCATTTGGAATTCGTGGTATTGCTCTAGATTTGTTATGTTTGTAACTTAATGATTTCAGAGTAGAAATACCGTACTGGAATGATGGGACATTATTTACTCCCCTTTCCGATCCATTACCAATTCCACATGGGGTCATGCAGGGTTCGATTTTAGGCCTTATTCTTTTCCTGCAATATGTAAACAAAATGCCCTTGACCATTCAAAATGAAAGAACTGTTGTTTTGGGGTATGGCATGAATATTATTTGCAGGAAAGAAACAGTGAGTAGAACAGAATGAAAGTCTGTTATGCTATGCGTTCAGAATTCTTACACATTCAGTCATCATTCTGCTTGTTGCATATTCTTTGCAAATGTCCATTCCCTCCTTAGATATGGCATAATATTCTGGGGAACCACATCATACAGCTTCCATTTAGAGCATGGAAAAGATTTGTTCAGATAAGCAATTTCCACCCTCACAATTCTTGTAAGCTTCTATTAAGTGAGGAATTCTACCATTGCATTGATTTTTGTCAAAAATGACGTGCACAAGGTTTCAGTGAATACTACAGTGTGTAACTATAATACTCGACATAGTAATCATATTCGTATGGTGTCAGTATCAACAGCTTGCTACAAAAAATTCAGATGCATGTATGTATATTATTTTACAACACATTGACAGGTGATTAAACTTTATACACAAATTAAAGTGCCAAGTACAGTATTTCCTGCTGCCTAACTGTTTCTACAGTCTTAGAGACTGTACCAAGCATTAAAAAGAAAAATAATATTGATTTTAACATTGATATTGAAAGTATTAGTTACCATTTGGACTGTATAATTCTAAAAGACTAAATATCCCTGATCCTTTGAGTGAATGCTGAGAGAGCCCCTTGCTTTGCTTCTGGACATAAATGTAAGTTCACTATCCATGCACGTTTTGTAGAGTTTGGTGGAAAATAATGTTATTCAAATAATCGTTCTCCATGTTCTCATGGCAGTAAGTAGAATTCTTCACTAAGTGGATGATGAGAGATAGTCAGCTAATCTTTAGCTGATTTCCCCTTGCAAATAGTTTTTATTACAGTGTGAACATTTTCTTATCAATTCTGGCCAGAAACTCGTTTCCACCTGGATTCATAATTCAACTTGTGCAAGAATTAAGGATCCCAGAATTATGGATTATTAAGTATCACAGTTTATGACATTATATAAAAACGAAGGTAATCCCAAAACTAAGTTGCCCTATTTTTTTAAACATGCTAAGATTTGTTTATTTTCAGTCATATTTATATCGATTTAATGCTTGGACATTTATCTATTTTGTATGTAATCGCCATTTGTGTCGATCATTTCTGTAGGCGCTACAGCAGTTTTTATATGCCAATGTCACACCAGCTCCCCGCCGTGTCGTAGAGGAAGCGTTTCACCTGGGCATCGTTGCCAGAGCGCAGTCTGCCCAAATGTTCTTCCACCTTTGGAAACAGGTGGCAGTCACTGGGTTCCAAGCCCGGACTGTGCGTGGGTGGGTGATGTCCCATCCAAACTGTTGCAGGAGAACGACGTGTGATGGGCGACGGGGGGACAAGCATTATCGTGAAGAATGCTTACGCCCCTGCATATCATTCTCCTTCTACGGTTCTGAATCACCCGTCTGGGTTTTTTCAGTCTCACAATACCTGTCAGCATTTAATGGGATCCCAAAAGACATGTCACGTCAGAAACGTCAGTACGACCAGCTGCAAACTCCCTACACCACCTGCGGATGCTTTTGAAATCCATTCACGACTCGCCACACTCCTCTTTCAATTAGCGATGAATTTCAATGGGTTTCACTTGCCTAAAATACCGAATAGATGCGCGAACTTCGCACTTAGCGTGAGCTCCATTACAGACGGCTGCCAAGTGAAGACTGTGCACCAGTGAGATGCACATAGACTTGATATTCCCTTGTGAATAGCTGTCCTTTCCATTTTCAAATTCCGTCTGCATTTCAAACCCTGAATTTATGACATTAACAACAGAAGATTTTGTCAAACGGCTCCAAATTTGAGTTTAAACATTTGTATGGTAAGTGTTAAATGCACTGAATAACCTAACATTAACACCATTTCCATATATTCTTTTAGTTTTCAAAAATTACAAAATGTATTATTTTGTATAGTTTATTATGCATATATGTATATTGTAATGCACACATTATTATGTATGTATTATGGTGTGTACATTATTGCATTTGTGTGTAAAGTCAAATTTCAATTCTACGTATTAAAAGACCGAAAAATTAAGTAAATGTGAAAAAAATGTTCTAGGCAGCAATAGGAAGCAGCTGGCAAGAGGGTGGGGCAAAACTGAAAAGCCATATCAGATTAAAGAAATTAGGACACTCACTAGTTCGAGGAAGTCCGTATCATTCTGTAGCGCCTCTTGTTTCAGTCTATTGGAATACATTGTTATAATGGGACGGCTCTGAGTATTAAAAACTCCTAGTATGAGAACACATTGAAAAGTACACAAACACAGCCCCAAAGATATAAAAACTGGACAATATCCCAACAGAACACAACTTCGTCAGTTTGTCCGTTCACTCATCCGTCTGCCCGCCCGCCCG